TTTGTTTGAATGAATGTTTTATGTGCTGTTTCCTTAGAACATTTAAAAGGAGGCTTTAATGAACCTTTGAATTGTTTCTTGTGCTGTTCTTATTAGCCACAGAATTGAGACCTTGTGTTAAGAGGGCCAAGGGCGGACAGTTTGCAAATATACTTAGTGTAGAATGTGTGGATCAGTTTCTTTTATCTAGTCATCAAAGTATGTTTACTGAAAAGAGTATTATATGTACATTATAATTTTTTTTAAAGTATTGAGGAAAAAGATGATGTGCGTGTGTTTTTTTTTGTGTGTGTGTGTATATATATACAGCTGGAGGCTGATGTAACCATCACCACAACCAGAATGCAGAATAGTTCCGTAATTCCAAAATATTCCCTTGTGTTGCCTCGTGGTGGTCAAACCCTCCTCCCGACTCGAAACCTCTAGCAACTGTTGCTGTGCTGTCTGTCCCTATGATTTTACTTTTTCCAGAACGCCATAGGAGTGGAATCACAGTATGTAACCTTTGATCATACCCTCTTTCATAATGCTCAGCTAATGGTCTCTGATACTCATTCATGTGTTTGTGTCTATCAGTCGTTGCTGAATAGTATTCCCTCATGGGGCTGTAGCAGTTTCTCTTTTCATCCCTTGAGGGACATTCACATTCTTTCCAGATTTTGGTGATTATTAACAAAGCTGCAGTCTTTACTGCATGTATTGGCATGAACATAGGTACACACCTGGGGTACATACCTAGGGGTAGAATGGCTTGGTCGTGTGGTAAGTGTAAACTGGTAAACTGTTAACCCAGGGTGGCTGTTCTGTTTTTCATTCTCATCAGCAGTGTGTGAGAGTCCCATATGTTCTACATCCTCGCCAGCATGTGGAATAGTCAGTTTTTTGTTTTATTTAACCAGTCTAATAGGTGTGTGGTGGTATCTTACGGTTTTCATGCATTTCCCTAATGGCTAATGGTGTTGAATGTCTTTCCTTGTGCTTACTTGCCATCTGTATATCTTCTGTGGTGAAGTTTCTGTTCAAATATTTTGCTTGTTTTTTTTGAAAAATTGGGTTGTTTTCTTACAGTTAAGTTTTGAGAGTTATTTATATATTCTGGATACAAGTCATGTGTTGGATATGTGATTTGCAGATATTTTCTCCTAGTTTGTATCTTGCCTTTTCATTCTCTTAAACACTGAGAGCTCACGTTTTTAAGCTTTGATGAAGTCTAATTTATTGATTTTCTTCTTCTTATGGATCATGCCTTTGGTGTCATGTTTAAGAACTCTTTGCCTAGCTCTGAGTCCTGGAGATTTTCTCCTTTATATCCTTTTAAAGTTAAATAGTTTTATGTTTTACATTTAGATCTAATGTTTTCATTCGAGTTAACTTTTGTTTAAGGTATGAGGTTTAGCTTGAGGGTCTTTTTTTTTTTTTTTAACAAATGAGTGACTGACTATTCATAGTTCAACATGATTTGTTAAAAAGACTATTCTTCACTGAATTATTTTTGTACTTTTGTTCAGAATCACTTGGCCATATCTGCAGGGATCTATTCTAGCCTCTATTCTGTGCTATTGAGCTCTGTGTCCGTATCCCTTCACCAATATCACACTGCCTTGAATATTGTTAACTTTTATAGTAAGTCTAAAAATTGGGTAATGGTGAATTTTCTAACTTTATTAATCTTTTTCAAAATTGTTTTGATTGGTCTAGAAATAGCCTGGCTATTGGGTGATCTTTGAATGACGTGGTTTTGATTTTGAAAAATACTTGGCCATTGAACCATGGTGGTGCAGTGGAATCTGTGAGAAAGAGCCAGCTGTGGATGGGACTGCCTTGTTTCTCCAGGTCTCACAGGTTTCCCACCTTGGACACAGTGAGGTCTTTACCACTTTTCTGTTGCTCTCTGTTAGTGGAAAATAGTTGAGTTTTCCTTCTCTGACAGGTTTCTGCCTTACACAGGTTCTGGCTTCCTCAGGTTCTACTGTATAAAGGTACTAGGAAGTGGCTTTTGTGATTACACTTATGTCTGTTCTTGGAATGCATTAAGGAGAAGTTTGCTGGACAATTCAACTAAGAAATCAGATGTTTTCTACTAGGCAGTGAAGTTTAGTTGACAGAGATCAGTCACTGGAGTGAGACAAGGCAGGAACTGAGTTCTAGCTCTCCCACTGGCGATGTGATCCTTGATTATGTGTATTTCACTGTCATTGAGTTGATTCCAACTCATAGTGACCTCCTTTGATTTCCGAGGTGGTAAATCTTTAAGGAAGTAGATTGCCCAGTCTTCCTTCCGTGATTATGTATATAGTGTGGGCAATGGTTTTGAAGTGTTGTTTTCAGGATGGAGATGTCGAGTATGAAATACCTAGTACCATGCCTGTTATATAGTACGCTCTCAGTGAATATCAGTTATCTTAATCCTCTCTTCCCTACCCCCCAGTATTTTTATTTTGAAAAATTTCAGATCTTTGGAAAAGTTGCAAAATTGTACAACAAACTACCATGTATTCTTCATCTAAATTCATCAGTTGCTAATATTTTGCTATATTTGCTTTATCTCTTTTTTCCCCCTCCCTCATCACTCATTAGAGAGTTAGTTGTAGGTATCATGTCATAGCAACCTTATGTACTCAGGGAGCTCTGGTGGTGCAGTGGTTAAAGGATTTAGTTGCTAACCAAAAGGTTTGTGATTATTAACAAAGCTACCGTCTTTTCTGCATGTACAGGGATTGGTGTGAACATAGGTACACACCTAGGGTCCATACTATGGTAGTTCAGTGTGTATGTCAACTTGGCTGGGCCTGGGTGAGTGGCTGGGCAGCTGGGTATTCCCCATGATGTGACTGGGGATCAACTCCATGGTGGAATCTACTGTGAGCAGCTGAGTAGCTGCCTTAGGGATGTGGTCTGCTTCCTGTATATAAGCAGAAGCCTTGGGGAATGGTCTCTAGCTTATGGCACTCTTGGACCCTGCATGTAGCCGTGTCATTGTTTAGCAGCCTGCCATGCTCTGCTTAACTGGGGACTTATAGTGGTTGAATTAATGGCCTGCCGTGTGGTTTGGTAACATCGGGATGTGCCTTTTTACTTGTCAACCTTGAGCTTAGCAGTCTCAGCAGCCAGCAGCTGTCTGAGTGAAGAAAACTCTCTAGCTCTGGTAGCGTAGTGGCTAAGACACTTGCCTGCTAACCAGACAGCTGGCCACTCCTCAGAAGGAAGGTTGGGCAATCCTACTTCTGTAGTGATACTGCCTCAGAAACCCAAGGAGGGGTCGCTATGAGTCAGGTTTGACTCGACGGCACATAACAACAACAACAACAATCAGTGGGCCAGGAGCTGGAGGCAGAGCTGAAGCCCAAGGCTGAGGGGCTCTCACCTAGCCCCTAGAGCTTGGCACTTTGAACTTGGACTTAAAGCCTCCAAACTGTAAGAATAAATTCCTGTCTGTTTAAGCCATCCCACTTGTGGTATATTCTTGTCAGAGCGGCACTAGGTAACCAGAACACATACCTCAGGGTAGAAGTGCTTGGTCCTCCACCAGCTGCTCTGTGGAAGGAAGGTGAAAACAGTCTGCTTCCGTAAAGCTTTATAGCCTCGGAAACCCTATGGGGCAGTTCTGCTCTGCCCTATAGGACCGCTGTGAGTGACTCCGTGGGAGTGGGTGGTTTTTTAAATACTTCAGCTTATATCTCCTTAGGATGTTGTCATATAAAATTGTAATACTGTTGCCTGATACAAAGTTGTCATTCAAATTTCCCTAATTATCCCCACATAGCCTTTTTTTTTTTTTTTTAATTCAAGCACACTGCATGATTCCATGGCTGCTTTCACTTGGAAGCATTCCTTAACCTTTTTTTTTGCCTTTCTTTCATGTCGTTAAAGTTTTTGAAGGGTCATTTTGCAGAACGTCCTTCCGGAGGGATTTGTGTGCTTCTTGATCAGATGCAGGTTAGACAGTGTATAGCTAAGGTTGTTTTCTTCCAGGATTCATCTTGGGAGGCATATGATGTTAGTTTGTTCCCACATTGGTGATGGTAAATATATTCTCTTGATTATGGTGGTGTCTGCTGAATTTTAAATTGTAGACGTACTTTTTCCCTTTTGTATTAATAAGCCATGTATGGGGCCGTATCTTGACATTGTGAATATCATGTTCTCCCAGTGATTTTGGATACCAATACATCGATGGTTCTTAAATCATTTGTTAATACTGAGGTTGTATAATGGTGATTTTCTGCACCTGTTATTCTCTGGGAGTCCAGTGGTAAAAGCTCTTAGCTGCTAACTGAAAGGTTGGTGGTTTGAACCCATCAGCTGTTCCATTGGAGAAAGCTGTGACAGTCTGCTCCATAAAGATTTACAGGCTTGGAAATCCTATGGGGCAGTTCTTCTCTGTCCTGTAGGGTTGCTATGAGTTGGAATCAACTCTGTGGCAAAGAGTTTTGGCTCAGGGCTGGGCAGTATTTTCTTCTGTTGCATATAAGATCACTATAAATCAGAAGTGACTCCGTGGCACCTAACAACAGCAAAGGTTCCCTGGTGGCACAGTGGTTAAGCACTTGGCTGCTAACTGGGGGGTTGGCAGTTCGAACCCACCAGTGGCCTCATGGGAGAAAAGTCCAGGTGATCTGCTCCCATAAAGATCACAGCCTAGGAAACCCTATGGGGGCAGTTCTACTTTGTAGTAAAGGGTTGCTGTGAGTTGGAATCAACTTGCTGGCACAATAAATTGTTCTACGTTTATTAACTGGATTTCTTTTGTAAAGAAGAGATTCTTCTTTTCCTTTACTTGCTTACTGAATATCAGTATGGACTCATAAATTCTTCTTTATTCATTCATTCCTGTCATCATTGATATTAAAATTGTGCCAAAGGTGGCTGGCGGGAGCCACTCATCAGTTCTTGTCGGTACAGTTGCAGCCAAGGTACGCTTTGCTTTCTCTAGGAAGCGAGGGCCCCTCTGCTTTGCTTTGTTTGCTTGCTTTGATAACTCTTCTTGGCTTATTTTCCAGCAAATCACTGAACTGAAGAAAGAAAACTTTAACCTAAAGCTCCGCATCTATTTCCTTGAGGAGAGGATGCAACAGGAATTTGATGGCCCCACTGAACATGTCTACAAAACTGTGAGTGGTCCACACTTCTCACTGCTGGCCTTGTGTCTTTCCTAGACATTCCACGCCAAAACTTGATTAATATTTGTTCTCAAAATTAGCATGAACAGGCAGAGCTGCTTTAATTGAATTTGAATTGGTTTTTGAGGGCATAAAGATATTAAGATGACCTTAATATAGAGGAAAAAGATACAAGCTGAACTTTAAGGGAGTCATTCTCTTTCTCGCTTTCTGCCTCTCTTTAAAATCTGAATTCTCATTTACCATTTTTTTTCTTTAATTTCAATAGCTGTTTTCTAAGTTATTTATTATTTAGAAAGCGACAGTAGATTGGTGGATTGGCTTCTGGAATTGAACGCTAAGGTCACTGACCAACTTCTATAACTTCAGGCAAGTCGTTTTGCCTCTCTGGGCTTTCTTTCTGAGTCAAATGATAATCCTTACGTCATAGGGTTGTTAATGTAGATGAGATGACACATGAAAAGCCCCTAGCACATAGTCAGTGCTTGATAATTATCGTCATTGTCTTACTGAGGCTTTCTTTGGCAGCCTAAAGTTAGGACTGTCAGGTTTTCTGTGATGTAACTCTTCTGTATTCCTTGTGTGTTGCTTATAACTGTCAGAAGAAAAATCTATTCCCATCTGAAGTCTTGACCTGGAGGTCTCTGCCTGAAAACAAACCTTGGTTCTGAAAGTTGAAAAAAGAACTGGGCTTTCTTGAAAAGACATGAGTACAAACAATATTTCAGCACCCATTTCTTGTCTTTTTCCAGTAGATTAGCCCCTGGTCTGGGAATTATTCTATCTTTTCTCTTCTGAAGTTTGTACTGCTGGAAACTTGAAGGAGGAAAACGAACTCTGCTCGGGATGTAGCGGATGAGCATAAATTGACTTGTCTCAAAGAGGGATTGTACTATACTTGTGAGTCTTCAAGACTTGAAAAGCTCCCTTGTCCTTAAGACATTTTTCCCTTCAGTGTGGGACTGGAAGGATAGTGAGGGTGTCCCTTTTGCTGGAAGGGAGTGATGATGCAATCAAATTTTAAAATAATTTCAGTAGCCTAAAATATTTCCTGTGTAAGTACGTGGTGATCATACATCCCAGCGCCTCTAGGGGGAAGGGTAGCTTTGTGTCAAGCAGTGTCCTGGGCATTTGTACACCTGTCATCTTTTAAAGTCTTGAGACAGTCCTGGGCAGTAGACAGTATCTTCATCTAACAGGGAGACACTAAGGCTCGGGAAGGTCAGTACCTTGTTGGATGTTGAGTGGTGAGTACGTGAGGAGGCTTTGAAACCAGACTTGCCCCCTCGTTATCCCATTCTGCCTCAGCTCTTTGCCATCATCTGACTAGATGACCTCATTTAATTGCATTTCTTTTACAGTTTGCGTTTTGGATAAGTGCCCATGGTTTACAATTCAAAAACTATAAAAGGTATATCCCAAAAGACGCTCTTCCACCCTTGTCCCTTTCTCCCAGATCTAGTCAATGTTACTAGTTTCTTATACGGGGAAATTTTATGAATACCCAGCATGTGTGTATGTTTGTGTTTCTGTATTTATATGTGTGAACTCCTTTTTTTAGGTAATGCAAGCATGCTGTTTACTCAGTTCTCTACCTCGCATTTCTCACCTAAGAATGTATCTTGGATGTCTGTCCTTATTAGTAGTTTAAGAGCTTTCTCATCCTTTTTTTACAGCTGTATAATATTCCATTTTATGCTTGTAAGGTCGTCTGGTTTTTGGTTTGGAAATGATGATCAGCATGATGTAAGTTCATAACTTGAAGTAATTGGCTTGAGAAGAATAGTCTGACAGGCAGATGAGCCAGTAAGTTCATCAGCAAGCAGAACACTCAGAATACCTCAGCTTGTGCCTAGAAGCTTTCTGCCTTTCCAAGAGCTGGAGGAAGGACTCCTTTGTTTTGAAGAGTGTTTTTGCAGTTTTCACAAAACTGCGACCGAAGACATAGTGCACTGCCACTTACTGTCCTTTATCCAAAGAAGTTTCTTCTGGACAAAAGCTCTGCTCAGAGCTGACTCCTTTAGTTCCCGTTGTTTGACAGCGAGGAAGCCAGCATACTGTGATGCCTGTGTCCCAGGCACTTCTCATTTAAGAACTCGTTGGGTCTTCAGATGCCACGAGGCAGGTGGGCTGTATGTTTTTCATTTGACAGGTGTATCTGAAAGGAGAATCATTGCTTTCTCCCCCCTAGACTAGTGCTTCTGAGGACAGTTACAGGGTCACACTTCCAGTTTCTTATTTGATACCAACACGAGGGCAGGGCCTCTGTTTAATACAGTGCTTGCCGTATCTTTGGTGCTTGGTGAGTGTCTTTGAAGTGGGGCAGTGAATAAATGAACATCTGCTCACTTACTGCAGTGTCTTTTTGATAAATAGTAGAGGCAGAATTTGAACCTGTATCTTTGTGGTTTCAAAGCCCATGACCTTGGCAATATGACTGTATTTCTCAACCTGGGGTATTCCTTCCCCCAGGACTGGTTGGCCGGAAGGAGGAAAGCATGTCCTGTCCTAGTGTAGATTTTACTAGAAGATTTTTGGTGGAAATGTTATTTTTATTTAAAATAATATACACGTATTATGAAAGAGAATATAAAATTGACATAAATTATTAAAATAGGGGAGAGATTTCAGGAAAATCGTGAATTTACAGCAATCTTCTGCAAACCATGCACCCAGACGCCCTGTCCCTGCTGTGTGTGTGTGCTCATCTGATATCCTGTTTGGGGCACATGTGGACAGGGGTGTGCACCCCGCCGTTCCACTCTCTCCTTCTGTGGTCCATTTGGCAAAGATTTTGTCTTTGGATTCTCATGTGATTGTAAGCTTAAGGCGGTTGGTGACTCCCTTCATTCCAGTCAGTTTAAAGGAGAACAGTTGGTTGGAGAACGCTATGGTGTTCCCGTGCAGTTGTGGCGCTTTTGTACGTGAGGATCCTGAAATCTTGTACTGAAACTTGACAGGCCATGTTGTGGCCTCCCACTTATCCATCCACATGTTTTACTTTTTTAAAGCTATAACCTGTTCCCACTACTGCAACAACCATATGCATGATTGTAAACAACCAGAAGTAATTGCCTTGAAATGGTGAGAGCTAACTGTAGAATTGCTTATAAATTTGCTTGGCGGAGGGCAAACAATTTTTAAATCAGCCTCACTTGTATGACATTTATGCCTTGATGTTTGAATGCCGTGGCTGTTAGAAGCTGAGAAAATTTACATAATTGTTCCAAGTCTTGAGAAATCCAGGGTTTTCTCTCGAGACCACCAGTGTTTAATAATTCCCTTTTCCCTGTGCCCTGAGGCTAAGGAGATTTTGAATCTGACATCTGCCTATTACAAGTATTGCATAGTCAGTCCAGGCTGAAAGCGGTTTCCCCAGTGTAGCCGTCCGTGTGTCCTGTGTTTTACACTCTTTCTTTTCTTTCCTCATCTTGTCTGCAAGAACATTGAGCTCAAGGTGGAAGTAGAAAGTCTGAAGCGGGAGCTCCAGGAGAGAGAGCAGTTGCTCATCAAAGCCTCGTGAGTACCTGACATCCTGTCAACAGCTTACAGGTCGCCCAGTGGTCCTGTGCTGGCGGCTAGATGGGGCAGTGACATCGAATCTTGTGCTTTTCTAAGTCAATTGTTCTCCAGTTGGGCTCTGAGGCACCCAAGGAGGTTTTTGTTTTTATTTAATTCCTTATTTTTCAATGAACTTTGAAAGTATAGTATACTTACAGAAAAATGAATAGAGCTTAGATGTATAGTGTGATAAATTTCCATAAAGCAGATGTACCTGTGAGCCACCATCTGGATCAGGAAGCAGAACATTACCACGCCTCCCAGAAGCTCCCCCCCGGCCATGCTTCCCAAACTTAACCTTTCTCCCCCAAAGGTAAACACTGTTTTTCACTTCTATCACCATTATTTAGTTTTGCCCGTTTTTGAACTTTATATAAATGGGATCATACAGTGTATATACTCTGTTGTGTCTGGTTTCTTTCCTTAACAATATATTTGTGGATATTCATCCACATTGTTAATGGTACTGGTAGGTCATTCCTTTGCATTGCTGTAAAAACCCTAGGGTTTTGAAGAGGCACTTAGAGGCTTCTGTGGTGTGGGACACAGGGAACTTGAAGGAAGGTGGGAGTAACTCAATCAGAGTAACTCATTTATTTTTAATTTATGTGCTAGGGTCCCTTATAATATTTTGCTTGATAGAGGGGTTCTTCTGCTTAAAAAAGGAGCTCTGGTGGTGTAGTGGTTAAGGCATTTGACTGCTAACCTTTGGTTAGCTGGCGATTCAAACCCACCAGCCATTCCATGGAAGGAAGACTGGGCAATCTATTTCCGTAAAGATTTACTGCCTGAGAAACCCAAAGTGGGTCGCTATGCGTAGGAATTGACTTCATGGCAGTGAGTTTGGTTTTTTTGGCTTTTGACTGCTTCAAAAAACACTTGAAAACTATTATTAGTTAGTTCATTCATTTGTTGCAATATTTATTGAACAGCAAGCAGAGTTCAGAGAATACAGCCTATGGGTCAGTGGTACTCATCCATTCATAAGCATCCATGTGCCAAGGACTGAGGATTTGTAAAGAGGCATCTCTTTACTCCAGGAGCTCCTCAGAGGCTGGTGAGCTGTACAGCATGCGGTAAGCAGAGTGCAGTGGAGGTACATGGTACATGACACTTGTGAGTGAGAGGGGATACCAAAGTGTGCTCAGTCTTGCTTGGGGAGAGTGGAGTAAGACTTCTTGGGGCTGACCTACCAAGGAGGTCATATGGCCAAAGGCAATGTAAGAATGCTTCCTTTGTTGTGGCATCAGAGATCCTGATGGATATAGTGGCTCAGGAACATGGAGTCTTTGGCATGGGTCCCAGTGTGCCATAGTAAGATTAGGGCAGGCTAGTATAATTCCTTTCATTGCCATAGCATGCAGCAGCTGGAAGTTGACCTATTATTAGTGTTGACCAGGTTAGAGCTTCCCAGACCTAGGCTTCTTCTCTGAACTTATGTGGAACTTGCATGTGTGGTCTATGATATTTAATGAATGAAGGAATGAATGCAACTGCATTAACGAGTTTTTGTTTTTAGTTTTATTGGAAGCTCATTATTCTCTGGACAGGGAGACAAATCTACATTATCAGGCTGGGAGATCAGTGATAGAATTTGATCTGTTTGATACTCAGCACCTGCCTGCTGCAGGTCTTGGCTGGGACTTGTTTTTAGCCAAGCATATACCAAGCATGGGATGTATATGTGTACTTGTGTGTACTCTTCAGTACTGATACACAACACTGAGTGTTTTGGGGGCTCATGCACATGTTTATATGTTTGTGTTTCTCAGGCTGCCCAGCCTACTAGGTAAGGCCCTTTTTGATCTAACTGGCCTTATTAAATTACTAATTTAAAATGTTTATTAAGGAGTTGTTGTATACTGTACTGAGGAGCTCTGGGGGTGTGGTGGTTAAGGCATCCAGCTGATTGGGATTTCGGACCCACCAGCCACTCGGCGGAAGAAAAATGAAGCAGTCTGCTTCCATAAAGATTTACATCCTTGGAAACCCAATGAGAGTTGCTTTGAGTTGGAATCAACTTGATGGCAGTGAGTTTGATTTGGTTTTGGTTTTGGTATACTGTATTGAACTAAGTTCCTGCGAATACAGTGGTGACCTGCTCAGATACAAGGGGGTTACATTCTAGTAGGGCTAATAGTAGTAAAAGAATTATAATAATAAATATGTAAATACAAATTGGGGAAGAGAAAAATAAAGGGAGCTGTGAGAGTTTATAGCAATGAGAGTAGATACATAGATACAGATACATAGCAGGGATGGCGTCTCTGAGGCATTAACATTTGAGGTGAGAGCTGAGATATAAGTGGAAATTAAACAGGTGAAAGGGTGGAAAGAAAAGTATTCCAGGAGAAGGGAATTTCTGGTGTAGGAGGAAACTAGGTCTGAGGAAATAAGTCTAGGGGGCCTTGATCTTTTAAGTCAAGACTAGACTTGAGATCACAGTAGAGATTTTGGCCTTTTATCTTAACATCAAATGGAAAGTGACATGATCAGATTTGTGTTTTTAGAAGATCACTGTGGCAGGGAAGGGTTTGTAGAGGGAAAGGAGGGATGGGAGGGAAAATTGCTTGCCAGTTAGGAGACAAGTGTTGATTTGGGTGAAGAGAAAGGCAATATAATAAAAGTGTGACCAGCACAATATCGCTAAGGAAAAGGAAGATTTGGAGAGGTGTACAAGAGGTACAGACAATAAAGGTAAATACTACTACGTACACAAGTCTGCATTATCATAATAGCAAACAGTAATCTATGAGTGGACACATAGGTAGACAGGCGAGATCAGGTATGGGTAGGTGACTGGGAATATACTCATGGCCATATGTAAATTGGGCAGATGATATTCTTGCATGTGTATTTGTGTATGTTATAAAAATACCCTTATGCAGTATAGAGCTAATGGGACAAATAACTTCTTAGCCATAACTAAGCACCTTGAAAAGGAGTGAGTTGCTGGGCCTGCTGGCTCGGGACCATGGTCTCAGGGGCCATCAAGGTCAATTGGCACAACATAGTACACAAAAACACTGTTCTACATCCTACATTGGTGAGTGGTGACTGGGATCTTAAAAGCTTGCAAGCTGCCACCTTGGATGCAACTATTGATTGGTCCTTGTCCGGAGCAGAAAAGCATGAAGAAAATCAAAGATGTGTGGAAACAATTAGTCCAGAGGACTCATGGACCATGGGAACCTCAGCCTGTATGACCCTGAGACCAGAAGAAGTAGATGGTGCCTGGCTACCACTGCAAACCACTTGGAAAGGGATCAAAATTGGAGATCCTGGATAAAAGTAGGAGAAAAATGTGGAACAAAATCGAAAAAACATAATAAAGACCAAGAGTGCTGGTCAGATAGAGACTGGTAAAACCCTTGAGACTGTGACCCCTAGTCTCCCTTTGGGCCTGGAATTGGACTTACTCCTATGGCTGACTTTCAGACAAATAAATAAATAGGCCTATGAGCTGAACATCTGCATCAGGGAAGTGCACTCCTTAGAACAACCAACCATTGGAGGTCAGAAGAGCACAATTTGCACAGGGAGAAAGGTAGACAGGCAGGAGTGCACAAGTGGGAAGAACACGGGGAGAGGGTGACCACAGGGACGAAGTGGGAGGAGAGCTGTTACACTGTGGGGAGTGTAATCGATATCACAAAACACAATGTGTGCGAACTGTTGAATGTAGAACAAATATGCTTTGTAAATTTCACCTAAATCACAATCAAATTTAAAGTAAATAGATAAATAAATAAAAGACCAGTATAGGTGCTGGATGGGAAATGGATTGTAATGGGAGCACAAGTAGAAGCAGGGGGGTAGTTTAGGTGAGAGATTGGTGATGGATGGGTGGATAGATTGGAAAGACAATGAGGCAGCAGTAGGGCTTGTTGAAGGATATGGAGAAAGAGGCCATGGACGACTCCCACGTTTGGAGGAAAAGATCACGAAGATTGTTAGATTGACAGTGATGGAACCGCTCCACTTTCTCTCCCCTGCTCTTCATCCCAAACCCAGCTCCTGGATGAAGAGAAAGGCAGCATAATAAAAATGTGTGAGCAGCACAATACACTGAAAGTGTTCCTGTTCCTGCTGCTCTGGCTCTGCCCTGGCAGACTCCTTCCCCTTCCCCTTCTCCCCTCACAGCCACAATACCTTTCCTGTTGCCTGCCATTCTTTCAAAGCATCAGAGTGAATCACACATGGCTTCCTCTGGCCCATATTAGTCTCTTCACAAACTTCTCTGGCATATAATGACAATCCCGTATGTTTTTAAAGCACTTTTCAGTTTCTAAAGCACTTTTATATTCATTTGAGTTCTGTCATTATCCTGGAAGATAGATAAATCTTGTGGAATTACCTTTGTTTTATAGAGGAGGGAATTTAGGCCTGGAGGTGAGAAGAGCCGGCAGGCCTAAAACTATCCAGCCAGAAAAATACAAAGCTGGGATTAGAACTTGTGTCCCTGACTTCTAGTCCAATGATAGTACTTTGTTACTTATTCTTTAATTACTTTCATGTGTGTGATTCTCATTTCCCAACATGACTATAAATCCCCTAAGACTAGGATCCACTTTTATTCCTTTAGTCAACTGTGGGGGAAGTGGGAATAGCAGAGGGGCTTGGTCTAGGTCTGTGGCCTCTTACTTGGCCTTGACTTTTCATCTATTGGGAGGAATCTTAATACTTACTTCCCAGGGCCATTGTGTGGGTTTCCTAATACAGTATGTGCAGATATCTGCCACATACCTGCTAAATATTCCTTTCCCTTTGGCCCTTACTACCCAGTATCTGGGGTTACCTGTGTGGTAAGTACTTGTTGATGGAAAATATCTGTATAAATATTATGCCCTCCACTCCATTTTTAGTTGTGATTTTTTGGCTGTGGGAGAGGGAAGTGTGGGTCATGCCATAGGAGAGACCCCGACTTTTCCTTAAAGAACTGTAATTGGAATGGAAAGAATGAAAAAAAAAAAAAATGTAGAGGGAAAAGGGTACTGTGGGTAGTGTTCATAGAAGGTACTTGTGTTGGGTGGAAAACTAGATTAGACCAGTTTCTCTCAGCCTTTCCTCTCTGTTGGCCAGCTCAGATTCCACAAAGAAAGAAAGGTTAAAGGGAGGGAACTCATTTTTGCTAAGGTCCTACTTTGCTCTCAAACCCTGTACCTGGCATTTGACATGTGATCCTGCATTTGCTCTTGGTAAGAGCTGTATGAGGTACTGGTGTTCCCATTTGATTGAAGACAAACTGAGGTTCAGAGGACTGGGACACTTCTCCCAAATTAGGTAAGAGCTGGGACTGGACTCGAGCCCACTCTGTTGCCAGATATAGATGTATTCTGGCTTTCTATTATTCTGTTTATCTGTTATAATGAGGGGACATTAAAAACAAAAGCAGTCATACTGTTGGGAGTAAATTTTATCTCTGTGGCTTTAAATTAATATGAACAAAACTAATAATTCCATGAATAGAGGAGAATTGCACCATACTGCTGAGTATAAATTTTATTGCTACAGTAACTGTAAAATACAAAGATGATAAATGAAAAGTTGGAACATTTATTATTGGGAACATATTTTATTGGTATAACTAAAACACAAACAAACTGAATAATACCAGTACTTGTTAAAAATTGTAGGCAGCCTCTTGCAATGTACGTGACTGATGAAAACACAGAGATGATGTCTGTGTTGACTGGAGGGAGGCAGTGTATCTGCACCTCCAGTGGGTGGGGGTAGAGGGCTGGGGGTCGGGGTAATGGAGGTGAGCCATTTCACAGAGGAGCTCTGTAAGCCCCAGGGCTACATCTTTGTGGTCCTTAGGCGAAGTTCAGAACTGGAAGAAATCCTGTATTGAAGGCTTTGGAAGGAAGGCCTTGTAGCCCACAGTTTTTTCAGGCATATGTAATGCCCCTTAAGGGGTGACAGAAATGATGGTGAATCATTGTGAATTCCAGACAGTACTGATCAAGGAATGAGCTGAGAGACTTGGGACTGGGGTCTTTAATGGCATTAATCAGGAAGTGGCATCGGTGTCTTTGATCTGGCCAGCGGATGATCTTTTCTCAGCTAGATGCCAGCAGAGGGGTGGCATGAGACCCCTTGCAGCAGCACGGCAGGCAGCAGGCAAACGTGCAGCGGACTCAGCTCAGGGAGGCGGTGGCACCATGCTAAGGGCTCTACGTGCATGAGCATGTTTAATTCCAAGAGGTAATCATTTCGTTTTTCAAATGAGGAAACTGAGGTGTTAGAGGTAATTTACTGAGGCTAGGAGCTCCGGTGGCATAGTGCCTAAGGCATTTGACTGCTAACCAGAAGGCTGGCTGGTGGTTCAAACCCACCAGCCACTCCTCAGAAGGAAGGTTGGGCAGACTACTTCCGTAGAGATACCGCCTTGGAGGCCCAAGGAGGGGTCACTATGAGTCGAATTGACTCAATGGCAGTGAGTTTTGGTGACTGAGGTAATTTACCCAGAGCCACACTGAGGATGTAATAGAATAAAAATCTGAAGGTCGATCTGTCCAGCTTCAGAGCTTGTGTTCTTTCTTTCCCATTGTTCCTGGTGAATTCCATGAACATGATTTCATGACACTGGGGCCTTCTGAGGGCTTATTGGTAAAAGGGGGAAAAAAGATATGAATAAAGCCTTTATTTGCAGGCAACTCATGTTTGAGACTTGGACAACAGTATGGCCCTCTTAAATTTCCGTTGTTCTCAGTAAAAATTTCACGTGGCTTGTACATGTGAATTTCTGATCACATGGCCCTTGGTTGGAAAAATGTTCTATACCCTTGAAATAGGGCATGGGAGGCTGGTGGTGAATAGACTTGTCCTGTTGCAGTTTTTCTGAGAAACCAGCTTTAGGTGGAGCCATTTCCTTTATTATTCTGTCTTTTGGAATTCTGCAGTTATTTTAGAAATCTGGTGAGAACTGCTCAGAGTATTTGTCTCAGAAATTCAGAGACACTTTTTGTTTGGGGGAAAACCCAAATGAACGGTTGTGGTCCTCTGTCGATTGTGATATGCCATCCCCACCCCTGCTCATCAGGTGGAGAGAATATTCTGTGGTGCCACAGCAGCCGTGTGAGCTCTGGCATTTTATGTTAGCGTGACATGGAGTGTAGGCTGCTGGTGTAATCTTCTCTCTTCATGCCCTAAGTGGTAGCTAGTGCTCAAACACATTGATTGTGCTGTATTTAAAAGGCTTCTCCCTGTGCTTGGCAGAAGGTGAAGCACTGACGCCCTTAATCCCTCAGAGTTAGTGTTGTTGCATACTGCTCCTAATGCACGTTGGTTTGCCGCACTGGTCTCCACCTTCCCTTTACCACTGATAGAAGTGTACTTTGTGGGAAGTTTCCTGGTAAGAAATTTGTTAGTGGCTATCAAAAGTCTAGAAAGTGTGCTTGCCTTTTGACCCAGCAATTTCATTTCTTAGACTTGATCCTAAGGCAGTCATGGGTAATATACATGCAAGGATGTTTTTATCATAGTACTGTTTACTGTGATGAACAATAACACTAGCATTTATTGAATGCTTATTCTGTACCCGGCACTGTTCTCAGAGCTTCATAAGTATTATTAAACAGATATATCAAATTAGAAACGATCTAAATGTTTTAAACATAAAACCAAAAACCAAACTCACTGAGAATCGCCATTGAGTCGATTCTGACTCATAGTGACACCCCTTGGGTTTCCGAGGCAGTAAATCTTTATGGAAGTAGATTGCCCAGTCTTCTTTCCATGGAGTGGTTGGTGGGTTTGAACTTCAGACCTTCTGGTTAGCAATCAAATGCCTTAGTCACTATGCCACCAGAGCTCCTTATACTGTGTATATAGCTTTTTAAAATGATGGTATAGATTTATGTTTATCGACACAAATAAATGTTTATGGTATTGTTATTATATGCTGTCTAGTCCATATGACAGAGTAGAACTACCCCGTAGGGTTTCCTAGGCTATAATCTGATTGAAACAGATTACCCCATCTTTTCTCCTGTGGAGCAGATGGTGGGTTCAAACCACTGATCTCTCAGTCAGCAGCTGAGTGTGCTTAACCATTGGGCCACAGAGCAAAACCAGATCACAGTTATGTACTGTATGGTTCTATTTTTGTAAAAGATGTCTGAAAAGATATGTAGCAAAATGCTAACTTCTTGTTGTTAGGTGCCAGTAACTTCCATTTTTTTGTGTGTGTGTAACAAGATAATGAATGATTCTTGTGTTATTCTTTTATCTTTGTTTTTGAATTGCAACCATTAATTTTTGAAAAAAAGCTCGGCACAGATCTGTAGAAGAAATGGCTAACGAATATTCCTTGCCTCCTTGGGGCTGTTGAAATTACCACCAGACTGTCACCCTTGTGCCTTTTACATCTTTGCCTCTTTTTGCAGCAAAGCAGTTGAGAGCTTAGCGGAAGGGGGCAGCTCTGAGATTCAGCGAGTGAAGGACGACGCCCGGAGGAAGGTGCAGCAGGTGGAGGAGAGCCTGACCAGGAGGGTGCGCCTCCTCGAAGAGGCAAGTCCGCAACTCTGAGCAGCAGTCACAGCAGGCTGGGCAGGCTCTGTCCTTTCCTTCAGCAGCTGTCAGTGTCTCCTGGGTTCCCAGCCCCATTTTAGGTCCTTCACATGTGATTTATAACTCTCAGACCCTGCTAAGTGGCCATTCCTATAGATGAGGAAACTGAAGGATAGAGACAAGTGCCCATTTAAACCTTTCATTTTATAGATAAGAAAAAGGAGCCTCAGAGAGCAGAAATGACTGACCTAATATTAGTCAGGTCCGGAGCCATTTTTCCTGACTTCTAGGTTATTGCTGCCTTATCCAGCCCCCTTCCTCATTATCCAGCCTCCATCCATCTGGCCAGCCAGCCAGTGTTTACTGAATGCCTTTTCCCTATTTGCCACTGAGTTTATCCCCTCTTTCTGCTGAGTCTCTGTTGTGTGTTTCCTATACTCAAGTTGGGAGTCAGGATGTTTTCTTTCTAAAAAAAATCCTGTCTCCTAGATGTTAAAAGGTTTTCGTCTGTTTTAAGCTCAGCTTATACTAATTACAGGTAGCCCTTGACTTACGACAGGGTTCCATTCTGACTACTTTATCGTAAGTTGAGTATTTCTTTTTTTTTTTTTTTTTTAATAGTTTTCATTATTATTGCCTTTTATTATCAGTATCTTAAAAATCCAATCTTTATTTGTCTTTGGGGGCTAGAAACATAAACTTACAGGTGTATTTTAATACATGCATACATAAATACATTAAAAAATACACAAATCATAAAATTTACTCTGACCATGAGGAGTTGGAGGATGTTGGCATTTTGTCGGCTGTGGTAATAACTCCATTTGTGGAAAATTCTGGACCATCTGGATTGTCCCTGGGAATGGGAGTGGTGTTTCTAGTCAGAAAAGTCGGGAGAGTTGTGTGTATGATCCTTTTCTTTTTCACTTCATAGTATTTCATGGTAACATCTCACTGCTTCCTGAACTGGCCATTTGACTTTAGCAAAGTGCAAAAAGGGCATGGAGGCGGCATCCCCCTGCGACCTCAAGGCTGATTCCTATGAAGCCGGACGTGCTGCCAGCCTCTAGCTTTCTCACCAGTTCTGACCCCAGCCGTCCTTCCCGTGCCACTCACTACTCTGCTTGCTTTGGGAATTCATTGCAGTGGCCACACAGAACTCACAGACAGTGCTCACAGTTATGAGTTTGTTAGGGAGGTAGCAGGCCACAATTCAGGTTCAGGAATGCTCAGGAGACACTTTGACAGTCTCCCCTCGGTCATGACCATAGGTACGTCTCTCTTTGGCCTTTGTCCTCTCGGCCTGGCCTCTCCCCTGCTTGGGCAAGTGTTACAAAGCTCTTTCAACCCTTCCAATTGGGGCATCTAGGTACACCCTACTCCACCAGCAAGCCTCCTGCCCAAGGCACGCAGCTTTCTATCTCCGTGGGCCAGCAAGCCTGCTGCTCTGCCTGGTGCTAGTCCCTTGGTTCTGCTACCGCTGCTGCCTCCATCTCTGCCCTCTGCCCACTCTCTGCTGTCTCAGCACAGGGATTTTGGGTCCAAGGATGCACTCCACTCCTGCTTCTTTTTCTTGATGGTAGTGAGATCCCCCTTTCTGCTTTTAGGAGGGCTCTTTTAAGCCTAGTGAGATGGCAAAACTGACTAATCCCCACATTAGGGTTCCATGCACTTTGTTTCCATGGTTCCACCCTCATAAGGGTGCCATGTACCTTATTCACATTATTAGCAAGCTGTCCAGTCCTCTTGGTGGGCCACAAGCACCTCACACTTGTATAGTTCTACCTCGTCATCTAGTGGGAGTCACAAAGACCATGGCTGGAAGAGCTATACCAAGCAATTCATGGCATCACACAAAGCTGTCAGCATTTGGACCCATGTTTCCAAGCAATTAAAGCCTCCGATTTAGTTTAGAAAACTGAATCTATATGGCAATGTTTTGAACAGTAAATCATAAAATTGAACATCTGTGAGTGAACATCTGAGAATGATAACATCAGCAAATTACATGCTGCAACATTGTATGTGGTGCATATTACTGATGATGAGATATACAAAAAACAAAACAAATGGTCATAAGTGTGATTCATAGTAACTTGAATACATCATAAGTTGGGAACTGTTGTTGTTGTTATTATGTGCCGTCGAGTCGGCCCCGACTCATAGCGATCCCTCCTTGGGTTTCCGAGGCAGTATCACTACGGAAGTAGGATTGCCCAGCCTTCCTTCCGAGGAGTGGCTGGTGGGTTTGAACCGCCAGCCGTCTGGTTAGCAGGCAAGTGTCTTAGCCACTATGCTACTTGTACTTAATTCTTGGTCTTTGAAGTCTGTTGTTTCATCTCACTTCCTCTACCTGAAACTGTGACTCTTCTTAGTGGATAAATGGAGAAACGGCACCAAAAAACATTTGTGGGTGACGGGTAATAGCTGTATTGTATTTTTTATTCATGACATTCCTACATCAGCCCCATGATGGGAAGGATGTGTATGCACAGATACTGAGTCCAAAATACAGATGAAGAAACCAAGGCTCAGAGAGGGTGAAGAACTTAGGCTAGGTCATCATGGTAGAACTGAAGCCAGAACAAGGGTCTTCTAAGCTCAAATTGTGAATTTCATTTAAAATATAATCATGAGGCTTTTAAGAGACCTCATCTATTGGTTTGTCATCTTATTTTTTCCCAGTAAGTGCTTCCCAGTATTTTTGAGGGTACCAATGTGATAGAACTGGGTTTGAATCTCTGCTCTGTCAGTTATTAGTGTTGTCTTGGATATGGCATTTGCTTTCCTTGAGTCTGTAAAATAAGGATCATGATACCTGCTTTGCATTAGTCATGGTAATAACAATGGCAGTAGTAACAATTTATTGAAGAGTTATGTGCTAGGCACCCTGCTTAGCTCCTTATGTGCATTGACTTAGTAACTCCTCTAATAAACCTATGTGGTAAGTACTTGTATCACCCTTAAAAAAAATTCTTTGTAACCGATGGTGAAGAGGCACAGAGTGGCTGAGTCACTTGCTGAAGGTCACACAGGCATTAAATGCCAGGCAGACTGGCTGAGGAGCCTGCAATTTTCACTACTCTGTAGTCTTAGTAGAGAACTTTTTAGAGTGAGGATCAAAGATAACATAAATAAAGCTCCTTGCTCAGAGCCTGGCATTTAGTAGGTACTCACTAAATGACAGGCTTTGTTGTTTGTTGTCTCAGAATGTAGGGAGACCTTCCCTGCTCCCATTGAGATTGCCACGTAAGCCTCTTAGGAAACACACGAGGAGGTGCAGTGCAGGGAGGGGAGGGAGAGGGAAGCGAAGGAACAAGGAAGAGCAAACAAATATTTATTGTGCTTGCTGTGATGCAGCAGGTTTTTCACAGCAACTATCTGATGGAATGGTGGTTATCCTTGTTTTATAGATTGGGAAGCTGAGGCTCAGAGAGGTTAAGTGACTTACCAGCTAAATGGGAGAATCAGTTTTTGAACCCATTTCAGTTTGACTTTTATCCTTGTGACATAACCAGAAGCAGTTGGCAGGAGTAGTTGCAGATTCCTATCTAGTCCCAGGTTACTTCATTGGGTACCAGGGTCTTTTCCCCTAGCACAAACACTGCCTGCATTTCCTTGTTGGCTTCTCTGAGCTGTTGGGGGAAGAACATAGAGTTTCTTACCACCTAAATTACCTTGGAGATATAAAAAATGTACTTTAGAATTGTGTCCTCATTATCTTAAAAAAGTACTGAGGGGGACAGTAGGTTGTGGGATGAATTTCTATGGAGAGATGGTGAGTATTTGGAATTTATGTATGTTTAGGTATTAAGAGGTGTATTTCTCCTTTTCTCACTGAAGCTGTAAATATTGATCTGATTTTTCAAAACCACAGACAGAGTTCTTACAGAGTTGAGTCTTTTTCATTGGAAATGCCTATTACTCTTCAGGATACAAGAGGGAAAAATGGCTGGCAAATGTGTTTATTACCGATTCTTCCCATGTACAGTACAATTCAGGGAGGGGAAATGTGCCGGAGAAAAAGTCATAAATATTTATATTTTAATCCAATTTCCTTTCAAAATATTCCCAATTGTATTGAAAAATTGCATCAAATGCATTTAATTTAACTCTAGGATGTGAAAGCCGCCCAAGCAGAACTGGAAAAGGCCTTTACAGGAACGGAGAAGGAGAAGGCTCTTCGACTGAGCTTGGAGAACAAGCTTTCAGAGATGAAGAAGACGCACGAGGGGGACTTGAAGATGGCTCTGGGCCTGGAGGAAAAAGACAGGTCTGACTCTTCTTCCTGTGACACTGTGACGTCTCATTTATCTGGTAGCATGGGAAAGAACTGCTCCCTTCTTTCCCTCCCTCTTCTCCTTGTTCCCCACAGAATGTGAGTGACCTGCTGGCACATACCCAAGATGAGAATTCAATCAGAGTGAAAAGGAAGGAGGTAGAGTAGTGACATGAGGGCAGGGAGAGTTAGCAGATAGCGATTCGTGCTGAAAAGTTCTACTCAGATACTCAATTTAGAATGTAATTTCGCTCTGAGCTTCCTGGTAGCAATAGGAAAAGGGAAACGCATTCTTGGTGGATACTAGATTAAATGAACCGGTATCTCAGGATAAGCCCAGTTTTCTTTGGCCCTGTCAGAGAGAAATCTCTTTTGGATCTTCATAAGGGGGACAGTGAGTGACTGCATCCCATAGTAGTGAATAATGTGTGACCTATTTTTTTACATACCTTTTTTTTAAAATTTTATTTCATCGTTGTTGTTGAGAATACATAGAGCACAACAAACGCCCGGTCAGCAGCTTCTTCCTGCACAGTTCAGTGACACTGGTCACGTTCTTCCAGTCGGGGGACCTCCAGTCGGGGGACCTCCAGTCGGGGGACCGTTCTCACCCTCCTTCTCCACGCTGTTCCTCCTCCATTGAATTACCTCACCGCCCTTTAAGGTTCCTGTTTAATCTTTCGAGTTACTGTTGTTGCTTTGATCCCAGATAGATAGTTCTTAAAAGAGCTTAAGACAGATATTTTTTACTCATTAAGATAAACCATTGTTTGGTTTTAAAAAAACTTCAAGGGATATTTTTGGAGTAAGTTTTAAAGATTATCTCAGAGCAATAGTTTCAGGTGTTCATCCAACTGCCACAGGTCCGGAAAGTGTAGATTCCATGAGAATTTGAAATTCTGTTCTGTACCTTCCCCCGATCAGGATTCTTTCATGGAATCTTTGACTGAAATGGTTAGCAGTGATAGCTGAGCACCATCCAGCTCTTATGGTCTCAGGTAAAGGAGGCACTTGTTCACGGAGCCAGTAGCCACACGTTCCATGTCCTCCTCCTATTCCTGCCTCTCCTTCTTCCTCTGTTGCTCCTGGTGAGTAAATAGACACCAGTTGTCTTGCTTGCAATACCTTGCTTGCAAACGTTTAAGACCCCAAGCACTACACAATGAACTAGAATTTAGAACAGAAGGGCTAAACATGTTATTAGGCCAGTTAACTGGGGTGTCCCATGAAACCATGACTCTAAACCTCCAAGCCAATGAACCAAATCCAAGAAATGTTTGGTTGCACATAAGCAGCCTTGGCCGCTAATCTTTTTTTTTTTGGTCATTGTTGTAAATTATCACAAATGCCTTGTTGTAAATATATCTGTCACAAATGCCTTGCCAATTCAGCTTTTTATGGGAGTAGAACTTATTGACGGCAATTAAATAAGCAGGTGTGCAACCCTGCCCTTAATCAGTGGGATTTTTCCATTGCTGTTAACTTCATCTTCTCCCCTTGCCTCCTGCCCCTGGTGACCACTAATAAACTTTGGTCTCTATACATTTGCCTTCTCTTGTCTTTTTATGTAAGTGAGGCTGTACAATATTTGTCTTTTTGTGATTGACTTTCACTTAGCATGATGTCTTCGAGCTCCATCTAAGCATGTATGACATGCTGCATGAAATTAGTCAATCACAAAAGACAAATATTGTATGAGACCACTCTTATAAAAATTAAGAAAAGGTTTTCACACAGAAGAAGCATTTTTTGGTGGATACCAGGGATGGGAGGGGAAGAGAGGGTAAAATACTTCACTGGAGTATAGACATGTATTTTTTAAAAAAGACTTCATTTCTCCTATTGGCTGAGCAGTATTCCACTGTATGTATGTTATATACCACATTTTGTTTATCTGTCCATCTGCTGATGGATATTTAGGTTATTTCCACCTTTTTGCCACTGTGAATAGTACTGCAGTGAACACTGGTATACAAGGCTCTGTTTGAGTCTGTGCTTTCAAGTTTTTGGGGTGTATATGTAGGAGTGAAATTGCTGGATCATGTGCTAGTTCTATTTTTAGTTTTCTTGAGGACCTGCCACGCTGTTTTCCACAATGTCTGTATGATTTTCCATTCCCACCAACTATGGATAAGGGTTCCAATTTGAGAAAATCATTGCCAATATTTGTTGTTTTGTTTATAGTCTTAGACACGCTTGTGTTGTTGTTAGGTGCTGTTGAGTCACTTCTGACTCATAGCAGCCCCGTGTGCAGCAGAATGACACGCTGCCCAGTCCTGTGCCATGTGCACAAAGTCTGCATGTTTCAGGCTATCTTGGCACCCACTGTGTCAGTCCATCTTGTTGCGAATCTTCCTCTTTTTCACTGACCTTTTGCTTTACCAAGGCATGATGTCCTCTTCCAGGAACTGGTCTTTCCTGATAACGTGTCCAAAATATGAGAGATGAAGTCTGTCCATCCTCACGTCTAAGGTGCATTCTAGCTGTATTTCTTCCAAGACAGATTTTGTTCTTTCTCCTGACAACTCATGGTATTGTCATTATTCTTTGGCAACACTGTAATTCAGAGGCATCACTTTTGGTCTTCCTTACTCATTGTCCAGCTTTCATATGCATATGGGGTGATTGAATATGGTGGCATAGTGCCTAAGATATGCATATGGGGTGACTGAATATGGTGGCATAGTGCCTAAGGCATTTGACTGCTAGCTGGAAGGCTGGCGGTTCAAATCCACTGGCCACTCCTCAGAAGGAAGGTTGGGCAATCTACTTCCGTAGACATACTGCCTCGCAAACCCAAGGAGGGCTCGCTATGAGTCGGATCCAACTCGATAGCAGTGAGTTTGGGTTTTTGGTTTGGGTCAGGCACACCTTAGCCTTCAAAGTGACTTGTTTGCTTTTTCATACTCTAAAGAAGTCTTTTGCAGCAGATTTGCCCAACACAAATGATTTCTTGACTGCTGTTTCCCTGGGCGTTGGTTGTGGACTCAAGTAAAAGGAAATCTTGACAACTTCAGTCTTTCCTCCATTTATCATGATGTTGCTTATAGTCCAATCATGAGGATTTTTGTATTCTTTCTGTTGAGATATAATCCACACTGAAGGCTGTAGTCTTTGATCTTTATCATTAAGTGCTCCAGGTCACTTTCAGCAAGCAAGGAGAAATCATCTGTGTATTACAGGTTGTGAATGAGTCTTCCTCTAGTCCTGATGCTGTGTTCTTCATAATAGTCCAGCTTCTTGGATTATTTCCTCAGCATACAGATGGAACAAGTGTAATGAAAGGATACAACCCTGATGCACACCTTTCCTGATTTTAAACCACACAGTATCTCCTTTTCTGTTTGAATGCTTGCCTATTGGTCTATGTATAGGTTCCATGAGTAAAATTAAGTTTTCTGGAGTTCCTATTTATAACAACGTTTACTATAATTAGTTATTACCCACACAGTTGAAAGTCTTTGTGTCTTGGTTCTCTATTGCTAGTGTAACAGAAATACCACAAGTGGATAGTTTTAACAAACAAGGATTAGTCTCTTATAGTTTAGGAGGCTAGAAGTCCGAGTTCCAAGTGTCGGCTCTAGGGGCTGGGTGACCTTGGGCTTCAGCTCTGCCTCATGTTCCAAGCCCGCTGGAGCTGGAAGCTTTTTCGGACTTAACGGCTGTTAAGGTTGACGAGCTCAAGATGAACAGGTAAAATGGTACAGTCCCAAGATTAGCGGACAACACGGCAGGTCACTAGTTCAAGTCCAGGAACAATCCCAAGATCGGCAGGCCACATGGCAGGCCACTGGGATGAAGACTGGGCCAAATGCCAAAAGCTAGAGACCCTTCTCAAAGCTTCTCCTTATATCCTGGAAGCATGCCACACCCTGAAAGAGGCCACATAGCTGCTCACAGCAGATTCCACCACGGAGGTGATGACAGTCTCATCAGGGGAATAGCTACATGTAGCTGCCAGCCACTCCAAACCATGGCCCAGCCAAGGTGACACACCCTTAACTACCACATTTTGCATAGTCAGTGCAACACAGGTAAGGATCTTTTAGGTATTCTCTGCTTTCAGCCAAGATCTATCTGACATCATCAGTGATATCCTAATTCCACGTCCTTTTCTGAATCCAGCTTGAATTTCTGATAGTTCCCTACTGATGAATGGCTGCACCAATTTTTGAATGATATTCAGCATAATTTTACTTGCATGTATTATTAATGATATTGTTTGATAAATTCTGCTTTCTGTTGCATCACCTTTCTTTGGAATAGGCATGAATACGGAACTCTTCCAGTCGGCCAGGTAGCGTCTTCCAAATATCTTGGCATAGACAGGTGAGTGCTTCTAGCGTAACATCTGTTTGTCGAAACATCTCAGTTGGTATTCTGTCAGTTCCTGGAGCCTTGTTTTTGCTGATGTCCTCAGTGGAGCTTGGACTGCTTCCTTCGGTACCGCTGATTAGTGATCATATGCTGCCTCCTGAAATGGCTGACTTTGGTAGTTCTTTTTGGAACAGCAGCTTTGTGCATTCTTTCTGTGTTCTTTGATGCTTCCTGTGTCTTTCAGTTCTTTGCCCAAAGACTCCTTCAGTATTGCAACTTGAGGCTTGACTTTTTTCTTTCAGCTTGAGAAATGCTGAGCATGGTCTTTCCTTTTGTTTTCCCAGTTCCAAGTCTTTGTCTAGTTCATTTTAATGCTTTCCTTTGTTGTCTCAAGCTACCCTTTGAAATATGTTTAGCACTTTCATTTCATCATTTCTTCCTTTCACTTTAGGTACTCTACGTTCAAGAACAAGTTTCAGAGCCTCCTCTGACATTTATTTTGATCTTTTCTTCCTTTCCTGTATTTTTAATGACTTTTTGCTTTGTTCATATACGATATCTTCCCACAACTCATCTGGTCTTTGTTCATTACTGTTCATTGCATCAAATCTGTTCTTCTGATGGTTTCTAAATTCACGTGGGACATAATCAAGGTTGTATTTTGGCTCTCATGGATG